TCCCCCCGCCCCCCCGAAAGCCAGAGCCCCACCTCCGCAGCGCCACAGCCGGAGGACTCGTCCAGGGCACCAGACCCCTCACCGCAAACCTAGCAGAGAGGACGGACAAGCCAGGTTTGAGGTTGTTACAGAGGGATCGGTGCTGAGTGGAGGTGGCCTTCGAGCGGGCCTTGATGAAGCCGACAGGGGCCCATGCAAGTCCCTGTGGGTCGATGGGGGGCGGGGCCGTGTAGGCCAGGAGCTGGGTGGGGACAACAGACCCCAACTCACCCAACGCAGGCCTTGCCATCTGGCTCTTCAGAGGGGGCCATGTTTCCCTGAGGCCTCCCTCCCCCTGGCCCAGACACCCAACCTGACTGGCCCAAATGGGTCTCTATGGTAGTGGCCTCCACAATGACCAGCATTCCCATTGCGGGGACACGGAAGCCAAAGGGTTCTGGTCTGTGGGGCGGTGGGGTGAGGAGTGTGTCCTTTTACTGGGCAGCTCAGAGAGGTGTAACAACTCCAGGCAACACAGCCCTGAAGGCCGGAGCCCAGGTCCCAGGTCTAGGGCCGGTGTGCCTTCTGATTCTTACCCCAGGCCCCGACTTTATAGGACCCTGAGCCGGCACACAGGAATGACACCCGCATCTTTCAGGACCCCAACTCCATCCTCTTCCCTCAAAGGGGACACTCCCTACAGACACCCACCCCACCCCTGTCAAGGAGCACTTCCCTTTTCTGAGCCTTTCCAAAGGCCAAGACTTTTGCTGGGACATTCCCCACATGCCAAATAGGCCCCTGGAATGCTAGCATGACCACAGGCTGCCCACGAGGTCTCCAGGCAAAAGCTGAGGGCACTGCACTAGCTCCCCAGCTGGCTATTTGTGCCTGTGCCTCCCCCCAGGCAACCTCCTCCGGGGATTTTTATCTTCCAGGGAAGGGCTGGGAAATCACCTTTCTCATTTTGAGGTCATATAACGGGCTTGAAACCCAGAGTCTCACTGGCTGTGTGACTTAGGCAAGTTACTTAACTCCTCTGAGCCTCAGTTTCCCTTTTTGTAGTGGAGCTACAAATCCCCCATCTCAGGGTGGTCTGAGAGTCCCTGGGGGCATGGAATTCAGACACTGTCCCTGGCCACCCTAAGGACCCATTCCAGTCCCCAGGAAGACCTTCATCTAGATAGGGAGACCCCAAACTTTTGGTTAACTACCTAGGCTCAGACGAGAGGGGGCTGAATAACAGCAGACATTTAGGGAAGACTGTGGGGTGCCAGGCTAGGTGCTGGCGGCATGGCTGGAACATGCTGAGAGCTGCCTACTTGATTGGGGCAGGGTGGCACCCCCCTGCCAGGTCTGCAGTTCCCTGCCTGGCCCTGAGTCCCCCCTCCTGCAGCTTCATTGCCTGGAGGCCAGGAAGGGGCCTGAGATTGGAAGCTCCAGCCTCTCAGTCAGGCCAAGGGTGGGAGCAGGGCCAGGCCTTCCCAGGTGACGCATTCAAGGGGTGGAAAGACTGGTGAGTCCCGACGTGTATAGTGGTAGCCTGGGTTCAAAGGCACATCTCTTGTCCTTGGTCTTCCCATCTCTAAAAGGGGCACAATGGTAGCACCTGCCCCAGGGGAGTACTTGAGAGATCTGAGGAACCAACATACATAAGCACATTTGTCTTTGTGTAAAGAAAAGAAAATACAAGAAACAAATCTAACAGATGGTAGAATGGGAAGGGGGACAAAGGAATTTTTTTACATTTTCAATAGTTAAACTATTGGGTTGTCGGAAAAGTCACGGCATATTTTTTCTGTTTTTCGTTGCAAAAATGCGTCGTGACTTTTCCGACAACCCAATACATCTCTATGTATTGTCTATTCAGATAAAAAATGGGGGCGTTCCTGAGACGGGGGACTCTGTTTTCAAACTGGGAAGGTCTTGGGCAAACCGGGGCAAGTTGGTGACACATCAAGCACCTATGACAGTGCCTGGCATGTGGTCAGTGCGAAATAAACGTCAGCCGTTTGATTCTTCACTAACGTTGACAGGAGGGTCCTGGGGACACAGATAGGCCAGACTCCCTCCAATCCTCAGGGTCCCCAGGAATTCCCAGGACCCATGTCCTATAGTCAATGATGGTGGAATCTGCAAAGTTTTAGGATCAATTGGCCAAGGAACACCAACCCATGTGCCTACTTGTTAAATAAATTAAAATCAAATGAAGCAATTGGAGGTGACACAGAATGGGGGACCTTGGATTTCCCCATAGGACAAGGTCGACTGAACAAAACAGAGCCTGAAGTGTTGGGGAAAATCAGAGGAGT